AAAGAATGCGAGTGCTACATTTGGTAAGAAAAAAGTTGTGGGAAAAGTTGCAAAACTTATATGCCAACCTAATATTATTGATAAGGCGCGGCTGAGCCTGGTTTGCCAGCCAGCTCAAAAATTTGATCATATGTTTACATAGAGAGCTTGATAATTTGTCAATGGAATTTGCAAACATGAACTGCGCAGGACACTTCCTTCAAAGTTTGCTGAAACAATCGTTCCGTGTCCTACATCTATGACAAAGCTATCAAACTGTGAGATACCTCGAAAGAAAGGACATAAGTCCTGTCACAAAGTGAAAAGTTGCAAGAAATGTTGCGTCAACTGAATGTAGACTGGAAAGTTTATTTAGAAATATTAGGTTGTTGCAAAAATAATGTCCGTTTTTGCAAAGTTTTATTTGAAAGGCTATAACTTTGTCCAGTCTTCATATTTTTGGATGCAATCAAAACCATATGAAGCAGTTAACCTTTCTTAACCGGACGCGCATCTGCATTTACTGATGTCACAAACGGGAAGAAAACCATGCGTCAAAAAACCGAAAGTTTTTCTTTTGAAAACCTCCTCTTTGAGAGATTACAGCTCTTTCTAAGTTTTGTTCCTTTGACTGCTAATCAACTTATCTTGTAGATGTTATATTTTCAAGAAGAACCCGTTCATTTGCGCCTGAGTTGTGGCCAAGAAGTTAGAGCAACGAAATTTCGATTCTAGGTGCAGTTGTGTGAGATGATGCTGAAATTCTCACAAATGAGATAGAAGCTTAATTTCGCAACAGTTAGGAAGTACATAAAGAAAGCTTTCAACGATGTGCAGAAACAATATCGAAAAAGACATTTTCAAGGGAAAAAGTTTTTTGGAAAATAGGCCTAGAAAAACGGACATTATCTTTGCAACAACTTAATAGAGTTACCCTCAATCATACATCTAGCAATTTTGATTCAAACTGGAGTCAAAAAATGAGAAAACTACACAGTTTCCTCCAATCATACATATTGCAACTTTCGATGTATAGGAAACTCGAAAAATGGAAAAATTTGAAAACGTAATGAATTACAGAGACATTCCTTCAGCACTATTTCGTACTCAAAAATGTTAAAGTTTGAAAAAATCGAAACAAAGCTAGATTTTATCAAAATCTAACTTCCGCAACTTGAGAATTTTCATTATCAGCTTGTTCCGCCATCCAAATCAATCCAGTCTAAACATTGAAATATCATTCACATCCATCTACATCAGTCCGCACCATCCCAAACATTAGAAATATAACTTACAAGCTATACCACTCCACAGCATTTTATTGCTAGCAAGAGCAGCACACTACACGCACTCCAACCCTACTGTTCAACACTACCATCCCACCACTCCAGTGCTGGAGATGCAAATCACCACCCACACCAATCCACACCATTCCGCCAATGCTCGGCACAGGTGGCTTACGGGGCAAGCTGTTCATCGTTTTGGAATAAAAAGCATGGGGACATCGTTGAAGCGGAACCCCCCCCCCTTCCCACACCCACACTCGCCTTCTCTCTTTATGTCACCCATCTTCTATAAAAGAGCAAACGGTCATTTCTGCCTTATCGATGTGCAAAAACCAAAATATCCTGTTTCAGCATGTTCGCTATCTTTCATGGTGAAACGCCCAAATTCAAACCTGCCCCGAAATAAACACAGGACTGTTTGCAGCGAAAACAAAATGAAATGACACCCAAAAAGATGTAGATGGACAATAATGAGTTAGAACTATGTGCGAAAGGTTATGAAAAAATTATGTAAACTGAAGACGTGGCAAGCTTTTTTCGGAGTTAGGTGGCTTTCCATCACATGGACAGCCTGAGGTGGCTGTGATAAAAAAGTCATATTTTTCTTTTCTTTACATAATTTTCTCACATGTTTAAGATAACCTTGTACTGAATTGAAAACCCTACTTGAGTTTTGAATCTCTCCAAACCCTTTCTTTCTCGCCTAAATACAACCCTCCAAATATTGTGTACGACAGCGGAAAGCCTCAAGCGCGCAAGAATGCGCGCCAGACACAGCATGCCGCCAATCCGAAAATACAAACATCTTTAGTTTTTTTTTCACCTGTTCGATGTTGCTTTTGTTTTGTTCCATTATTTTTCGTTATTCGTTTTGATCCCTTCATTCGCATTATATGATGTCGTACTTTTATGCCGAAGTCTACGGGGACTTCGTTTTTGAAAAATTGAAAAAGCTACCTCATGCCGAGCCCTGCATCCCGCACCAAATGCACTGTAACAGTACACTGCACGCAGCTCAATTAAACTTTACTATGCAGCACTATCACACTAGCTTCAGCACTGGACGTCTAAACCACCATCCACACCAATCTCACCATCCTGCATCAAATTGTGCACTGCAACAGTACACTTCACGCAACTCAATATAACATCACTATACAGCACTACTTTCCACGCCATCCAACGCTGGAGGTGCAAATCACCTTCCACACTAATCCACACCACTCCGCACCATCCCATACCATCCACACCATCCACTCTACCTCCAACGCTGGAGGTGAAAGCCATCATCCACACCAATCCACACCAATCCACACCATCCCATCCATCCACACCATCCACTCCGGCTCCAACGCTGGAGGTGAAAGCCATCATCCACACCAATTCACACCACTCCGCACCATCCCAGCAACTGCAGCACTACAGTGCACGCCATTCCACCAGTTCGCAATACACCAATAACCACATCAAACCCAGCGTGGAAATGCAAACAAGGATCTGCGCCAATCCACATCACTTCACAGTGGCTCCTGCACCGCGGAAGAGTATGTTCTGAAATCCGTTGTGGAGAAGATTGCTCAAAAATTTTCTATGCAAACTCCTGTTCAGCACTGGCATTTTTTTACCAATCATTAAGAAATTTTCAGGGTACAGACATTTGCTAAGGACCTGCATAATGTGCCACCGTTGTGAAACTTTTTGATTAGCAGGAAATAAGCGAATGTTAGATCAGAATGTGCATCTGTAGTCTCCACGGAACACTGCCTAAACAAAAGATGCTCAGCAACGTCTCAATACTAGCTTGCATAACACTAATACATTGATGGTACGAGGAAGTTACATCTGCTTGCTTTCAGAATACGAAGTTGATTAGAAACATTGATTGGTTTATCTTTCTGTAACACAGGCTATAAGCAAATTGGTACCAGTACGTTAAATTATAAGCTTGAGGAGCGATGCCCATTATTGTTCATTTCCGGGTCATGTAGATACCTCTGAAGTAACTATTCATGATAAGATTCAAATGATGAATAAATATTGTTGCTAACTTTCGTGGGCGGATTGGATTTGACTGAGAACATCATGAAAATGTAGAGCTTAACAAAGGACAGGAAAATTGTACTTGCATTGAAGATATAAAAAACACCAAAATTACCTTGAATCAATCAAAAAAATTGAAATAATATTGCAACATAGTAACAATCACCAAACACGAATTGCAGTGGTAGTCTACTGAATTGTTTTTCGCTGTTTGCTACGATTTTCCACAATGCTGTAGAGAAGGATGTTTGCACTTGAGAATGATATTTAATCCATCTTCTTTGCCGTTTTCAAACATATGTTAGCATTCCGAAGTTACCATAGTACACAGAGAGACGGAAATGTTTGCATCTAACCAGACCTTGGCTTATTATCTGTCACAAAAACTGTCCAGTTGCGATCATCTTCACATTACGGACCTAGGGCTTGTATATTTAAGCAAGCTGCAGTCAGGTTCCGCACCGCATTCGCTTACTCGCATTCATCTGATATTGATAAAATTTGGTAATATCACATTTACCCTCTTTCTACAAAAGCTTGCTTAACCGAGAAAATTCTTAATTTTGCTAAGCTTTCATCGAGAAATTTTCCTCGGCAGCATTCTAGTCGAGTCTTATGAAAAAGTTTTTTGGACATGATAGCAACTAAAGGGAATGTTTCTTCAAAATTTTCTACTGGAATGACTCGATTTGGATGCAGTTTTTTGAAAAACATTGTTTACCTCAGGTTGGTTAAAAAATTTTTTGTTGCGATAAATAAGATAAATAAGTTCTTTCAACATAGCATAATAACTCTTTGCTAACTACTACTTTTGCAACCTAGTCATAGGTCACTCGTACTTATTCACTAACCCCCACATCTCAGATCCTCTCAGATCACATTCACGAACACAATAATGCGTTTACCACAGAGCAAAAACCTCAAGAGGGCTCTAGATTACACCGCCAAAGCAAGCTCAAGCCAGTTTTGAACGTTTGTTTGGTTTCAAGACTAAAACTTATTTACATGATCATGATAGCAGGTCTCAATCTAATCTAGATTTTAGAAAGTGATTTGAAGCCAGCGGAAAACCATTACGCTTAGCTTGTAAAACATCTTAACAGAGCATGCTTTTTAGAACTTTTAAGAACTTTTTTCTCGTCATTGAATCTACATATTTTGTATAATCTCTAAATCGATAAGCTGAGCAGTCGGAATACCAAGCTTTCCAAATCGCTGCACCAATGCAAAAGCTCAATTTTTATGTTGACTACTCGCAAGACACTGAATAGGCAGCAATTAGATTTCGCTAGTAACTGGGAAGAAATTCGCGATGATCCGATGATCGTGACATTTTTTTCCTTTCTGATAGATAAGAGAAGGATTTGAGACTTTAGCGCTTAACAATGAAGTCGGCATTGGCACTCGCCACTCTGGTTTTTGTGAATATCTGGACACCACAGCTAGTCTCTGGCAGGGTGAGGAAGATTTTTTGGTCTACCGGACAGCTAGTCATATCAAAAAATCTTGCAGAGATCTAATAGAAGTTGCTGCTGTTGCAATTGCTGCTCTTGCTGTCCATCCAGCACTATTGAGGTTTGCCCACCTTTGACTGTTCAAGCACCTGCTCCACAACCAGCGCCGGCACCTCAACCAGCACCGATGCCGCAACCGGCGCCGATGCCGCAACCGGCACCGATGCCTCAACCGGCGCCGATGCCACAACCGGCACCAGCGCCAGCTCCAGTCATCCCTGTCGTTGTTCCAGTTTGCTGTTGCTGTAAGTGAAAATTCACCCAGCACTCTCCAGACGATAAGCGCCCTTTTCCAGGCCCATGCCAGCAGCCGCAGCCTGCACCAGCGCCGGTGCCAGTAGTTGCACCACCTATGACACCTGCACCGATTGTGAATGTGTTCACCTACCCGCCCATGACTGCGTCCTCACGTCGACGAATCAACATTTTCATCAACTCAAATTGCCCTAGCGGAACTGGTGGTAATGGTGCTAATGGATGCTATTGAGCCTGTTCGAACAGTTAACTCGTATTGAATAAGCTAAATTTTGTTACTGTCTGTATATATGCGATAAACTGCTATCTCGATTGAGTCAAGTATTATTAGAACATGCGAGAAAACATGCTAACTTATGCAGGTCTAAGGGTTAACTCTGTCATTGTCTGCAAAAGCTCACATTCAAGATCAGCAAATCAAGGCGCAAGATAATTTTTTTTCTGTACTAGATGGCCCTGAGGAAGACGCTCTATATTTAAACATTCAGTTATCGACCTGTAAGATCTTTCCAACCTAACAAGAGCAAAATTTCTGTTGGCACCTCTGTTCGTAATAATGGCTCAATAAAACAACTTTACTTTTTTCCTGTGCTTTTTCTCTTTTACAAAAGTTTCTAGAAAAAATCGCTTTGGAAAGGCTTCAAATGCCTTTGTGAATAAATCCGCATCTGTACTTACAAAAACTAAACTTCACTTCGCACTGCTACCATTCAATTTGCCTTATTTATTGCTGTTCGTGCCTGAACCACAATTTGCTTTGAATTTCTACATAGTGTCCCAAAGTATTGTACATACTTTTAGGTCGTTGTTTATCCCCATAGTTTTCCACCGAACGTTGCTACCGTTTTATAGAGCTGACCCAAACTTAGTTTCTAGCAGAAACCGAGTCACCATTCACTTTATCACTATGGGATTACCGTAGGAATCTCTGCACACAGCGATATTGTAAAATAGGCTGTCACTGTATACCTATGAAAAGCATTACCGTATTAAATTCCCATGAATGTTCTCAGTAAAAAGAGTACAACTCTGCCGAAGGCCTGGCTTGTTCTTTTTTTGCGATTTCAAACCAGTATGTACAGCATGGTCAATTCTGTTTTTTTTTGGAATGAAGCGTTTTATGCTTTGCAAACTGTACGTAATGTCTCTTGCGCGTGCAAAATACCGGCATTTTGCTAGCTGTTCTCGCGAAATTGTTATTACAAAATCTCAGCAAAGCAGAAGATTACTAGATTAGATTAGATTTACGACAATTCTACTCGACTATACATGGGCGGCGTAACGTCAGTTACCCCTTTGACAAGTTCTTCAGGGTTTCGAGACATCCCAGCTTATTTCCTTAAAATCTTTTCTCCAAGAAAAAAATGATTCTTGTTAGTCATGCTCCTTCCTATTCTAATCATCTGTTCTACAAAGTAGATCAAACACTGGCGAAGTGGGTGTCTCTTTTCTCATTTCAGGATTTTATAACACCAGAAATTTTCGAGAATTTTGCGTTTTTATGCAATCAATATTGGTTCATATCAGTGCTATTTCTAAGCTTCATGAGTTACGTCATAACTGAAACACACATCATTGCTGTGGGATGACTGGTGTTTCAGCAGTAATGGGATTTCTACGTTTCGCTTAATAGTTTTGGGAGTGATGATAGCTTCGGTTTACCTCTGTGGAAAGAGCAAGGTAGAAATGCTTGTCAACTGATAGAGCTATCGCCATTACAAACTAAAGAGCGTTTCGAAATTTGCTCTACCCTCTTGCAGCGACAAAATCCTTCTTGAAAACAGTTGTAAGACGTAAAGTATATATTTGATAAAAGAAGAGGTTTTTATAGTAGTGGAATACACCCCAAAAAACAGTGGCCAGAGACAGACAAGCATTAACTTAAGACCTCGGTTGGGTGTACTGCATTATGGCTTCTATAAATTATTTAAGAGGGAGACGGTCCTTTTGCACGGGCGGTCTCCAGCGTCTCCCTGATTTTGACTTGTCTTAACATGTAATGCACGCCGCAAATCTTTCCTCCCCGTGTTTTGCTTAGGCAAAAGCCGCCGCAGGGTGTGTCGCGCGCGGCGGTGGTCCTGTGTGGAAAGCATTACGGTCGTGCGAAACGTCACACACCCTATTTAAGACCTTGAATCGTCCTCCGACGTTTCGGAAATGTCCATTAAAAATTCCCCTGCAAATCCAGTGATATGTGCGAGAGGTTTGAACTATCTAATATGAGGAACATCTTGTGACTGAGGTCCCGGAAAACTACTATAGTTGTATATCGGAATCTTCTTCATCGATATAACACTTCAAATTTTTCGCTCGCCTGCGGATTACTGCCGGATTTTCCAAGTTTTTTTAAGAAGGCAGAGATTTGATGGGAATGAGGGGATCCAAAAGGTTTCCTGAAAAAGTTGTTCTTTGAAATATTAGCTCTCAAAAAAGAAGTAAGCACATTTTTGGGACGTTGATAACGATGTATCAAGACATGGCGTCAAGTTTTTTTTTATCAAAGGCGATAAGGTTGTTTCTTCAAAATGTGTGTGTGTGTGTGTGTGTGCAAGGCGATAATCTCACATGCTCCCCTCTTGCCCAAAATTGGAGGGACAAATTATAAAAAATCACTGGATGCTCAAGGATCACCTAGGATGTTTCCTGAAAACTTCTTGAAGCATATGTACGGATTAAGCATGTAAGCAGCGGATAAGCAGCAGAGCTTTAGCAAAAAGTTTGGCGAGTTCCTCGTTTTGCATCACTACTTACAGGAGCAGCTCCTCCTATCGTTGTCCAGTATGTTTACCGAGGATGTATGAGATAGAGTTGCTTAAGAACACTTGTGAATGATTGTGTGTACAAGTGAATGGGATGACGAATGAAAAAATTTGAAGCACTGAAATCAGCTCCAGCAAAATTCTAGTATTTAATGTTACGCATGTTCTCTTAGTAGCAGTTTTCTCCCTTCATAGCTTATAGATTCTGTTCCAACAAATTCTGTTCCAACACCTCGTAGTACATCTTTGCAAAAACTTCAGTTGATGCACTAATTCGAATAGTATAGCGGTTGTTTTCCAAGCAATCAAATTTCTCTAACTATAAGTATAATGAAAGTGTCTGCCCTTATTGTGCTGTCTGTGACAAGATTGGATGAATCATTTCTGTTAACCAACGTCGGTGATTTGGGATGCCTCGTGAGTGCTAACATTAAAAATGGCAGTTATTCTTAGATCTCAGTTTGCAAGAGAAAGATATTTTTTTAGGGCCCGATATTGTGTTGTTGTCAGCCTCAGCAAGTCGAACAGACTACGACTGCAGCAACAACAACGACGACAATTTCTACTGCTGCTCCCGCTACCGTATTAACGCCAATTCTCGTACCCATTTATTGTACGTTTGAAAAAACTAAATTATGCCAATTTCTGCCAATCGATGACTCCAGGTCCGTGTCCTCAACCGCAACCTGTTCAGCAAGCAACACCTCCAGCACCTCCACCAACACCTCCTCCCGCACAAGGACATGCTATGCAAAGGATATCGCTAGCAGATCTGCTGTCACAGTTACAAGCAATACCTCCACCAACATCTCCATCAACACCTCCTCCCGCACAAGACCAGGCTACGGAAACGATATTGCTAGCAGATCTGCTGTCACAATTAGCAAGCACCACCACGACACCTGCGTCTCGTGACATACATATCCACCTCAATGTCAGCTGTAGCAATGGTGGGACCACTACTCCCAGTGCAACAGATTGTCCAAGATGGTGGTTCTGTCCGTATAACGTATGTACTTCAGATTAATGGCTACGTGTTTGTACATAGGATTATTTATTTGATATTTATTAATGGAATCTCATAAAGCGACACTATTCATAGCGTATTCGGCAGTCACTGCACATCTGTACAGGGCTTATCATTTGCAGTGTCCACCTGCATCTCCACTCCCGCGCAGGACTCTGCGTCTCTTCCGCGAACACGCTCCTAGTCATAACCAATCGAGTGGGGCTCCCCTTTTCCGCGCTCGCGGTAAAACAGTGATCAGAGAGCGTATTCGCAAAAGAGGTGCAGAATCCAGGCGAGGCGGCCGCGCGTGAGCGGAGATGCTAGATCTTCCGACATTGCAGTTGATAATCCCCGTAGAAATCGATAGCAATGTAGTCATACAATATAAAAGCTTAGATAACCCAAAAATGTTTTCTGTGATGCGAACGCTGGTCAAATTCAAAACCATAAAAGAGTTGAATTTGCTTTTAAGAAATGGTATGACACCTTTTTGTTTGACAAAAGCACTGTGTTACTTTAACCAGATTCACGTCAGTTTATGCGTGAGGAATTTTGTCCGTTAGAAATGAACTCAAGGGGAAATTAAAGTTTACTTGGAAGGCACATATAGTGATTGCAATTCACCATTTTTGATTTCCCTTTGTATTAGATTGATGCGAAAGTATGTCCGTTTTTTCAAACCTAAACCTATTTTTCGAACAACATTTTTCTATCAAACTTTCTTTTTCAATAGAGATTTTGCACATCATTGAAAAGCATTCTTCATGTGCTTCCTAATGATGATGCTTACCGGGTTTTTGCACAGGCACTCAAAATCGAAATTTCATTCCATTCACTATTTTGGCACAATTGGGCGCAGATGGACGAATTTTTTCGGAAACATGGCTGATGTATGGGATGAAGTGAACAATTTTGGAGTTTTATCTTCTGTTTAAGCAGAACTTCTTTGTTGAAGTCCTTTCTATAGAAACACATTATTTCTTGCGGCTACAAAATAAGCTGATTGCCAACCATAGGAACAAGGAGGGAATTGTAATCTCTTAAAGAAAGTCTTTCGTTTTTTTACGCATGGTAATTTTCGCGTTTGCGATATTGGTACATGCAAATACGCGCTAGGTTAAGAAAGATTTACAAATTATGAAGAACTAAACAAAGTTATAGCTTCTCAAAGTGAGATATCGCAAAAAGGACATTCTTTCTGCACCAATCCAATATTAATATAGGCTTCTGCTGATGACTGCACCCAAATCCTTCTGAAAATGCTAATCCCTGACCAGGAATTTTCCAGATGGGTGCACATCGTCCCCTTTGTGCTGGCCATAATTACTATCTATATGGAGGGTCCCGGGCTTTGCCCAGCTGGGGTCTGCCACGCTTGCTCCGGGGTCCTCCGATTTCACCCATTTTGGTGCTCCGGGGCTCCTCCAATCTGACGCACTCCAGGAACAGAGATTTGCGAGTCCCCGTGGAGGGGTTCCATTCGTCACGGTGACGTCATAAAAAGGCGAAGGGGACCCCCCCCCCTCGGGGATCGCGAATCTCTGCTCCGAGGATGCGTTGATTTGGAGGAGCTCCGGAGCACCAAAATGGGTGAAATGGCAAAACCCCGGAGCGCTCCAGAGCGTGAAGTTGCAGACCCCCGCCAGCCTTCCGGAGGTATCCCTTCGACTGTCTGAATAAGTTACTTTTCGCGGCGATACACTTGATCCTTTATTGGTTTATTGATTAGCTGACGTATTTCTATAGAAATAAAAGCTTATCATATTTTCACCAAGCCTTTTTACATGATCATGCATATAAGAGCAACAAAGCTTGATTTAGTCTCTAAATCAAGCGGATGTGGAGGACTGAAGTGGTCAAGTTTACGAGTGCTTACGCCAGTTCGGAATATTCAACGCGGATTTGATTGCGCAGTTATAAACGCTTTTTAACCTGCTCAAATTTTCAACTTCAGTACATGTAGCATCAAAGAAGTTAATCCTTCAGCAAGCACAATAGCCATCGAATCGCAAAAATTGCTACTTATATAAGGTTTCGCAAAAAAAAACTTCCTATTGTTTGATTGTTAATAATTTACTTATCACTGAATCTTTCGAGAAATTTTAGTATCATCTTGGAGTGTCATAATTTATTCCGGGGCTATTTTTATTCAAGCTAAGAAAGACTTATATTAGCTTTCATACTGGGTCTTTGAAAAGCCGCAAAAAGAGCTCACATCCTTACAAATAGGCTCGCAAATCTTCGGGGAAGGAAACCTATAAGTTTCTGAATTTCGCAGAAGAAAGACTACTTTACATGCATGTACTTGAAGGAAAAATGGTACGCTCTTTATCCGCATTAGTTTCCAATATCCAGTCTGCTATTTGTGCGTATATCCAGTCTGGATTTTGAACGATCCAGTCGTTAACATACAGAAAAAATAAAAACATGAGTTTTCTTTGCTTATGTAAGATGTTTAACAAGGATATAAATATATTATCTCGTAATTGTTTGCCAAGAGATAAAAAACGCTGAGGGCTTGCATATTTGCTTTTATCACGGACAACTTCCTCTAGTCATAATCCCGCCTCTGCCGGACAGTAATCATCTCCACGAGTCTGAAAGAAGGATGATTTGTATACTGATAATGTCATCCATGCTGGGGCGTCACAAACCGAGTTGGTAGGCAAACGTATGAACTTCATATTAGTCTGATTAGAATGCTGCAGCTTGAGATGTAGCTGTGGTGTATCGAGCAAATAATTAACACATTGACGACCACGCAAATTTTTGATGTTCTTGGGACCAAGACCTTCCACGGACCAGTGAGCATTGTTCAGATAATCGCGCATACTGCCATCTACAGTATATTTACAGTAGCTGTGAAAGGCTGACAAAGAAGATAGAAGTCATTTTCAGATTAAGAGCAAAAGAAAACTTCTGGAATGAGTTTGTACTAAAATAATCGTTATTTTAAAACGAAGTTAAAGTCTTGACACACCATGTGTGTCAAGCGGTCCCACGTGGTAGTCATAGCTTGACACACATGGTGTGTCAAGCGGTCGTCAATGTGTTAAAGACAGAGTCCGAGCAAAATTCAAAACAAAATTTCCTCCGCTTACCTGGGCTTACTCTTCCCGATGATTCTAAGAATGCAGCTTGCAGTACGAAAATGTCGAAAACGGGCTATTCCACGAACTGTTGATTATGAACATGGACGCCTGCAGCCGAGGTCAAGACGCAGACATGTGGTGGGACCCTGCATCTTGACTTTGTGCGAGATATTTACAGTCTGCCCCAATCGGGATCAGGCCGAACCGTCGGCGTGGATTTGCGCGCTTGCAGCGCTAGACGTTTCCGCTGCATATGCGAGTTGGCTGAAAGAGCGAGGAGATCGAAGAGGGAGCAGACAAGCAGGCCGTGGGCGTGACCGCGAAACCCTAGCGACGCGGACTGCTGCCATGCCAATTTTGGCCTGATTGGGATTGGGGCAGACTGTATCCTGCTGTCGATTGAAAGGGCGGGTAGGTCACCAAGATGTCTGGTCTTCCGGTCGCCACTTCTGAAGCGTTTCTAGCTTCAGAAAAAGAGTGGTGCAATGCCACTTGGGAAGAAGCTTCATCAGGGCGGAGCCCTTGTACGCTGCATTTTCATACCTGCCGGACGCTGCCTGTAGGGAGGAGTGCAAATATTAGGTTGAACCGAAAGTTCTGTCGCACCATTTTCAAAAAATCATAACTTCTTTCGGCCACTACGATTTTGCGCAGTTCAAATTTTTTCTGAAAGCGTGAAGCATGCAGTTTCCGAAAGCTCCCTGGGGAGTTTCCGATATGCTCAGGTGGCAGAGATAAAAATGAAAGAACGAAATCGTCAGAAATTCGGAATTTTTAAGCAAGAATTCTAGAAATTCAGAAACAGTGCGATAAAATCCAAAAAAGCCATTACCTTAATTTTTCTTACATTTGATTACCATCTGAGTCAAGTTGGTGCTGATCGAGGTCTTCTTTCAGAAGTTATGAATTTTTGAAAAAAATGCCAAAAAATCCATTTTTCAAGAATTCTTAGGAAATTGATTTTTCGGCATTATTTTTCAAAAAATCATAACTTTTGAAAGAAGGGCTCGATCAACGCAAACTTGACTCAGATGGTAATCAAATGTAAGAAAAATTAAGGTAATGGCTTTTCTGGATTTTATCGCACAGTTTCTGAATTTTTAAAATTCTTGCTTAGAAATTCCGAATTTTGGATGATTTTGTTCCTTCATTTTTATCTCTGCAACCTGAGCATGTTGGAAAGTCTCCAGGGAACTTTGGGAAACTACATGCTTTACGCTTTCAGGCAAAATTTGAATTGCGCAAAGTTGTCGTGGCCGAAAAAAGTTATGATTTTTTGAAAATGGTGCGACAGAACTTTCGGTTCAACCTAATATTTTCCTAAAGATTTATAGAAAGAAATGCAAAGGGATGATAAAAATGCAAATTTTATTTAGCTAGTGAAGTGTTGTAAGGTGCATGTAAAACAGCTTCAAATATAGAACTATGTGCAAGAATACAATGCGTTTCAAATTCTTGTCCCTTTATAAATAAGCCTATTCTAACCGCGTTTTTTTGGTGACTGAAGTTAAAGACAATGTTCGGGCACATTTGGGCACATAGGTTTCTTGAGTGGAAACTGATGAGGGGGTCTAACTAAGGCACTGCCCAGGCGGCAGCGCAGATCATTCAATGACGGCTGAAAAATCTACCTCCAAAACCCTCAGACCCTGCGCTATGTCCGAAAACCGCAATTGACTCTCTCCTATCAGCACCGCGCTCCCGCGAGGACCCGTTCCCAATTAGTCGCGAGTTACGGTGACGGCGCAAGCTTGAGCAGTGAATAAATCATCTGTGCTGCAACTTGGGCAGTGCATTAGGTAGGACTTCTTCACCAGTCGCGAAAACACATGCCCCAAGTTTTGCCTGCCCACTGCTTATAAGAAAAGTAGAAAAACCGACCGTAAAGCATCAGCCTGGGAAAAACGTTTTTTGGAAAGCGATGCGCATATTGTGTCTATTTGCACACTTAAAATTCGTCGTCATATAGCCGTATTAGCAAGCGAATGCTGCGAAATGAGTAGATGGGTGGTCTAGCAAATCATGCAACCTTATATCGGACGTATAAGGCTAAATTGTGAGTCAAATGTTTTTAGAGTTTTTACCACGATGCTGTGTTGAGCACAAAATTGCATTTCTACGAAAATTCAAGTACAGATTAATAACTCTTAAACGCTTAGAATAAGCTCTTTCGCTGAAATACTAATACAATACTTCAAGGGAAAATTTTAGCACATGCTGAAGTGTGTGTTCTATAATCCTTAAGGGGATAAGTCGTAGTAGTAGTCGTAAAAGCATAAACATTGTTAATTTCATTACTCAAGAAAACTTACGAGTTTTACAAATTTCACTGTAAGTTTCTCCTAAATTGATGCCATAACTTAACGGTGCTTTGTGAATTTCTCAAAATAGTCGTAAATGGGCGCCTTCTCAATAGAAATCTAATTCAAAATAAGACAATTCTAAAAATCAGAAATTTTACAGAACCACTAGCTCTAGTCGGTTTTCCTGAAAATGATAAGCAAAACCCTAGCGAAATCGTATTTGCACATGGTACCATGTCTTCACAGCGACTGGACAGAAAGCCGCAAAAACTTAACGTGGCGTAAAGATCCCGCAAGCCTCGTCTATTTAAATTCCTGGCGTGTGAGTGCAGACTAGACTGTGTTGTGGACAGTTTCTGCCTAGCTGCTCGTGAATATTCAAAGCTTTATATTTTGTTACCTTCTTTTCGTTTTGAAATTAGGTTGTTCGTCCATGTTTGATGTTTCCTTAAGTTTACATTATTGAAGATCATGTTGTCAACAAGAACAAAGTGTGGGCAGTCTTTATGTGAAATGGCTTCAACTGCCTCATCTATACTCTACCTTTTCAGTTTCGCAGTACCTGTATGTTGTCCTCCAACAAAACAAGCTTTCTGGTTCTGCTTCTTGCTGTTCTAAAAGAGGGAGAGGCGTTGCTTGGGTCTAGTAATGTAAGTAAAAATCAAAAGTTTCATCTAAACGTAAGTCTGTATTCTAGCGAACGAGGAGAGGTTGTTGCACGTGCTGTTGTCCACAACCTGTCAAAAAAATCATACAACCCATCATAGTCCAGCAACCTGCACCTCAGCCAGCGCCACAGCCGATGCCGCAGCCGATGCCGCAGCCGATGCCACAGCCGATGCCACAGCCGATGCCACAGCCGATGCCAGCACCAGCTCCGGCACCAGCTCCACAGCCCGTAATCGCACCCATCGTAGTTCCTGTTTGTTGTAAGTTACAGTTTAGCACACCAGTGTGTCGCTAAAGTCTGGCACTTTTAGGTCCTTGTCCTGCACAAGGTGGTGTAATGGCACAGCCTGTAGCTCAACAACCGATGGTCCAACAGCCAATGATCCAACAGCCTGTAATGCAGCAACCAATGCTGCAACAAGCGGGGATCGATGAAAACATGATACAGCAAGTGGTTGGCCAAGCGATGCAGTCGATGCAGCAGCAGCCTATGGTCAATGGTATGAATGGTATGGTCAATGGCATGAATGGAATGATGCAACAGAATGGAATGCAACAGCCGATTGTGCAACAGTCTGTGGTGCAACAACCAATGCCACAGCAAGGCGTAGTCGCCGGCCAGGAGATATACAATGTGCACTTGATACCAGAGCCAATTATTGAGCAACCTCCGGAGTCTACAGGTCCAAATGTGCAGGTGCACAATCTTGGTGCAGGTGGACCCGTTGGTAATGGTAATGCTGGATGTGCTGCTTGCAACGGGAGGTGGTGAACAGTGTTTACACTAGGTCAGGTCAGCTCGATTGCACTGCTGAGATTATGTAATTTATTCGTAGTAGATGTAACTTACGAGAATATGATTTCTGTACATATTGATTGCGAATAAAAGCTTTTCAGAGACTATCGCAAGTGTTGGTTCTCTTGATTTGTATCTAAAATGTTAATTCCAAAGCTTATATGCTGACATTTGAATTGTTTGATTGATAAATTGACAATATTTACGGGTTTACTGCGGCCATCTCAATTTGAGTGCCACAGTCAATCATACTGCGAGTACGGTCGCTGTTATGTCGACTGCCAGGTGATTGGTACTTTGACAAATGATGCGACGATAATATTACCTCAACAGCATTAAAGAATTTAACTGTACACAATTTATACAGGATAAGTCAATTGAACCAAAAATCTGGAACTCCCACTTGTTTTTTTGTACTTGCTTGAGTTTTTGTTAACTGCTGACTACCAGTGACAAGCACACTGATAGTGTCGACGACGATCTTTTTCGTCAGAGGTGTACCTCTCCGTACATGAACACATACTTACATACATGATTTCAGCAGTAGTATGGGTCAAGTATGATTTCAGTAACGTTCATTAACATGTTGGAGCGTTCTGCATAATGTACAATTTATGGTTTTGAAGTTATTCAAGCTATCCTACTCTTGGTTTTTCTTTCAACTTCTTCAGGTACAAAAAATTCAAGTTCGTTCTTTCTTGACATGCAAGCAATCATATCGACATTTTTAGCTGAAGCAACATAAACCAAAAACAACAATCCGCGTTTCTGCTCACTAGTAAATCGATAAGCAATTTAGGGCAGTTTTTATAGGAGAATTCCTCCGAATAAGTGAACTTCATTTCGATAAGAATTCCCAATATATGAATGAGAAATAGTGAATTTTCTGAGCAGGATAATTTGACCAATTACTACGTTTGATCTCGTAAAGTATGTTCTAATATCAATCTATAACGCCTTTAATTTGCAGTTATCCATATATAAAATGAGCAGCTAATTGCGAGAGGTGGGGATTGCTTATGTGCTTAAATGTGTGATGCACTATTCATTTGCTTAGCCGCTGTTTGCGTTACATCAGAGGTCCACTCAGGGTTATGGCGGTCTATCATGCTTCAGCCTGCGAATCACGATCTTTTGCAACTTTAGCGCGAGTTTGCGAATATGGTACCGATTTGCCTTTATTTGAATGACAGTGCCGCTGACCAATGCCGTCGGATTCTGCAAGCCGCCTCGCCCGCTTTGTGCCGCGTTCATGAACTTATTTACTAAGGCCGTCCCTGCCAGTCATGCTTCATCGCTACTCAGGTGGAAAAGTCCAAATGAAGGACTTTTCCAAAGGGCCCAAGACCCGAGCAGGTGGTCAAGATCTAAGTCTGTCACACCCAAACTGTCATCGAGACGGAGGGTACCTTTTACTATGCCAACATGCAAGTGTAAGTTACTATGACCTAAAAATCCGTTGACTAGAATATCGGAATGCCGAGTCAAGAACAGTTTCTATCGCAACGACGAAACCAGTCCATTTTATATCGGTATGCGAGAACAAATCAGTGCAGAGAAGTGTTACTGAAGCCAAAGTGCGAAAGTGCACAGATCATGCATTGCTGCCTTAGTCGGATCTTGCCTTATCGAAACCCAAATGAGGTCTTGTCCCAAGGTATGACTTTCAAGGTCAAATAGTACAAAGTATCTGGATCTGGATATTCACCGTTCGACGCGGGACCCCACAACCGCTCTCCCGCATTGATGCTATCTAAAGCAAAAATTACAGGCAGCAGGGTCTTCGTGCCAGAACTTCATAACTTTCCATCAAATTCTCGTCCGAGCTGATTTTTGGAAACTGGGTAAACGCCCCGAAAAAGATCTTTTTACCCGTTTTAAAGTTCAAATTTGGGGTCTACAAGAGTCTTAAAATCCCAAAACATGCAAAAAGGTGAAAATGCAAAATCTGCCGGGACATTGCCTTTAAACATTGGGAAGTTCCTTGCTTTACTACATTCTTGGGACAGACGAAAATGTGTTATGCAGCACATAACTTCCTCTTGACAAACTGAAAATATCAACTGTAGAGAATGAATGAATAAAATGTCAACTATCAACTTCACTGATTCAAAGTCAAACCGAGTACAGAGTTTATGTTGCACCAAAAATTCCAATGCGAGATGTAGACTAAGACAAAGAGCGATCAAAATATGCGCAGGCTGAATGAAGATCACCATCTGCGGCATGATTTTATTATAAGTAACGCGTACTCAAGCGTCACCATATTGTGTCCAAGTAAAGGTTTTTTCGTAAGCGATCCAAACCCCTAGTGAGGTACAATCTGGGGCTCTGTGCTACATTTCCTTATCTACATGCTAACTGAGCAAACATGCACAATCGCGAGGCGCCTTCAAGCCTTGGCGAGATGAGAAGAGAGGGTAGATATAAACTGCGCTAGAAAGATCATGGATCACTGGCTAATTTTTCAAACATCGAGACATATAACTCGGATCGACCCAAGTAAGCAGCTTCGAAATTACCTATTCTAATATATTGTAGTAATATGTTGTTTGTTTTATGATGACACGGTATGAAATTGTCTGAAGTATCGACCCACTTCTTTGCATGTTTGCGTTAGGAGGCCCAAGTTGCTTCGGAAACGTAGACTTAGGGCTACAATTTGGGAATTATTTCCTGAGAAAAAATAATGCTTATTGCTTTCAAGACCAAAATGATATCTTTTACCTGTTGCGAGGAGAAGCGCACTATTGACACCCAGGATCAAGTTGGTGGGTTGTGCAAGTAGCTGCTTTTGTACGTAACAAAAGATTCACAAAGTTTGGGCGCTAATTTCACGCGCTTTATCATAGCCTGGGCGGGAGCTACTAAATTCAATTTTAGGAATATTACAACGCTGAGAGTAGCAAAAACTATGAAGGTCCATGTATTTTAGGTGTAAACACAAGTAAAACATCGATATTTTATCAATGCTCAATGTAATTCTGCTCCTTCTCACATGTTATGCTGTAGTGCTTAACAAGTTTTCGAGCGGTTTCCGCGTTGGCTACAGATTACAGGGAACTCTCAACAACGAAAAATTTGATTAAAATGCCCACAACTTACTTTTCAGATCCTCAGATTTGCTCAGCAGCTAAGAAAGGGGGTTGCGGAATCAGCGTTTCAAGGTGCTTCAGATGATACCCATTCCATGTCAAAAGGCCACTGCGACTTTTGACACTTTCCTTGTAAGAAAAATCCGTGTCGTTAAATCCCGACATCACTGACGCACTTGTATCAATTTACAAGCGACACCATTGGTCTTTTATCACATTGAAACAAGCTTTCAACTAAAACATACAATAAAATCTATGTTCAGTCAAAAAGAGCAGGAAGAACTGTTGAGATTGCAATATATAGTCAAATATTAGCACAGCACAATCGGCACAGATCCGGAAGGTTTCAATGTCATAAGGGTGTTGGTCATATCGCTCGACAAACTGTTCATCAAATTATGCTCGGTAACTTCTGTTCTCCGACTCAGCGGCAAACGCCTCGCTCCAAAGAAAGGCATGAGACACAACGTTGGTTAGCACTCTGACCAAAAAAAACTCTGCAGGAGTGTGAAAAATGAAGGGTAAGAAAAGACTTCTTGCGTTTTGCATGTTCTGGTACATGCTGTGCATCACCTAACTCCCAAACTCGGTACCGGTACTCTTCAATCCCAAGGCTCCAAGGCCTTCAATATCGCTAGAATTTTGCATACTTGAACATGCTAGTCACAACAATGCTCACTTCACATGTACCATTTTGATGGAAATAAGTTAAACTTAAAATACGATCACCGTAAAAGACTTTAGTCTAAAATTTCTATAACAGAAACCTTGAGTACTTTATGTGCTGTAGGCTCTCAAAAATTTGAACTAGTCATCAAGATTACCAGCTTACCGGAAACCTTGCAAATCCGCATACATAGCACAACCGGCATCTGTAAGCACACAATTCGTGAACCTACACAAACTTCGGCTATGCAGGCGACTTGCATAGAATCACAAACTCAAATTTCTTTGAACTAACATAACTGTGATTTTTATTTATGTATGACCGCAGGCTACCTCGAACCAAGACAGATTCGATTGTTTGTGATATAACAGTTTATCACGTCGATTACATGACTCTTCAATCCGTATCCATACGAGCTTTTTACAATCAAAAAGCTACCATTCGTAACTTGCGTAAGAAGTAGTATGAAGCGTTTTGTCTTATCCCTACAGCAAGTCTTAGAGTTAGTCATCAAAAAGAAGATTATGATCGCGGTCTCATAAAGCTCGTTGATCAACTCAATGTTCTCTATAATTTAGCAAAAATTTAGTACCATAAACTTTATGTCGATGCTTTTGTTAAATGGAAACTGAGTGGAAAAGTCTTGCAAGATTTTATGCCGTTCTTTGGATTACTGAAATCTTTCCAATTGTGTATCCAACGGAGAACTATCAGTTTTATCGAGTACGTAAATCGTAGCAAGACTATGTCGCAAGTTCTGTTATTAGGTCAAAGCGCCTGAAAGAGCATCGGTATCAATCGACCAAAGAAAAACTCAGCTTTCAGGTTCCCAGATTACATGATCTATGAGTTAAGATGATTTGCTCCTTTTTACTCGAAAAGCAGTTAGATCTTCTTCATATGTGTGGTCATACCTGACGTTGGAGTTTGTGTTCCGGCAGAGCATACCAGTTCTGCCAGTTCTTCTTCTCGGATTTCTAGTGATCATGTGCAACTTGGAGTCTTTATTTGTTTAGCGGCTGCACTTGTCCACACAGCTGACTGGACATTCTCATGAAAATTCGGAAAAAACTGACCACGTCAGTGTAGTCGCCGTGCTAATCTATCGCTAGACTATTTAAGCTTAGGAGGGAGAGAATCGGCAATACACATCGTTGTCCACTCGGTTTCAATAGTCAGCTATGATATCAAATTGTCATAACTTACTCGATGCTGATTCCCTTCCCTTAAAGAAAACTTACATTGCTTGCTTTCCTCTTCCATTACTAAACTATGTTATTGGGTTATTTGAACCTTCTTTGCCGAGAAAGAGATGTTTCAAAGACAAGCAAAACAGTCATTACCTTTGCAAAGTTTGAAGCACTTTTCTTTAGAGCTCCATGCGATCGATCATAGCTATACTTTTCACATTAACTCATGTTGGAGGTCAACTGGTAAGCTCAGGCTTCGGCAATGCCTTTTCCTTATATGTAATTGTTTCCCGAGGTGTAAACATTTAAGGGAGGTGGCACAACATGTTGCTGTTGTACGCCAAATCAAGCTGCTGCGCCTGCTTCTAATGCTCAAGTCCTCCCTCCAGTAGTTGTTCCTGTTTGCTGTGAGTTTTGCCAGCTTTCTATCATTATAACAAAAAAAGATCTAATTTTTAGGTCCATGTCCAGCACAGGCGGCGCCTGCGATGCCGGCAGTGCCACAAACGCGAAACATTCACATTCATATACCCGTGCCGACTACAACACCCCGACCTAGAAACATTTACATCCACTTACCCAATCGACAGGGAGGACCACAAGGACCAGGCATGGGGCCATGGGGAGGAATGGGAGGAATGTATAATCCCATGATGATGATGTACTACCCTTTGCTGTACAGCCTTTTGTTGGGTGGTTATGGTGGTGGTTATGGTGGTTATGGTGGTTCATTCCCAATGTGCGTTCCTGCGTAATGATCTACGAAAGCATCGTGATACTAGCCTTACTAGTAACGCAATTAGAACGTTTTAAGTAACTTAAAATAAGTTTATTGATTGTGTTAGCTAGTAAAAGAGATGCCTGTATATATTCGAAATAAAGTATTTCTATTATTGGTATTTGACAAGCTAGAGTTGATAATATTACCACAGGAGTTTTCCAAAAACCTCAAATAGCACGCATTCTCACCAAAAACGCACATTAAAATAGGGTTTTTGTCTCATCTTGTGGATGTGATTGTAATCAACGCTGTTATAGGAGCGAATCAAACCCTTTGAATAGAATCTTGCGAAAAGTCCTTTCACTCATTGCAAAGGTTTGTTTAAATACACTAAAACATTTTTTGCAATCTTTAGAGCCAAGATCTGTCACGACCGCTCAAATGAAATAAACACAGAGGAGAACATAAAAAGCGCAAGCAGCTGCTTGTTTAGTTTTATTTTCTTTTGCCTTGAATTAACATTGAGCAGTCGATCTTTTGTCGGAACGGAGGACTGATTAGTAAACAGCCTATGATAGTCACTCTTCCCATTTTGATGTACAAAAAAGGGTGGAAGATGGATAGCAAACGATTATGCAGAGAGTAATGACGAAAGAAGCGAAGAAGAGCGTGAAAGAATTTGAGCAAACCATGCCCTTGCCTAGATATGAACGAAAAGAGACTCGCTCTGCGGTAAAAAGTTATTGGTATGTTAGTTTGAATTGTGAATACCCAAACACAGGATTTTCAAAAAACTGGGTTCGAAATGGTTATGATCAAAGGGTTTCGTGAGCTGCTCAACCACCGATTTCAGATTACGAGTTAGCGCGTTGACGACAACGTGCGTTTTTAGTTGTCTGCCTATCGGGACAATGCTTTCCACGGATCCAGCCAAAATCATGCAGATCGTCAACTACAGCATGCCCAGTAATTCTATGAAGCAGGCGACAAACACAAGAGCGACTTCTACTGTTAAAACGTAAGAGAACTTCTGAAAAATGCGCTTTAAAATAGCAGTCTTCAACAAAATTTAAGCCATACCCACAATGTGGGTCATGGTGTCCCGGGTGGCAGACATTGCATGACCAAGCATGTGGGTCACATTGTCGTCAATGTTTAAAGCGCGTATATGTCACATAGTTATGACCGTTGTTTCCCACAACAACACTCAACTCCCACAACTTAGCATTGGCGGGCTCTGCTTCAGTAATTCAAACTCATACAGGCGCTTTGAAGAAAGCTCCCTTTCACCTTGCGTTACCCAGCTTTGCAATCAGCCGGACGAATAAGCTTAGATAAAGAAAAGTTTTCGTAGAGATTTGTCGGGAGCAGCCTTTGATCTTGAATTGCGCAACCATCAAGGTACGAAATTTGCTAAGCAAACGAATGAAGACCATGCTAATTGTAAGTCTTTTTATGCAAGAGAGTCTTGTGCTAATTGACGAAACTTACCAGAAAATGTTTCAACAGGTAATATTTTATCCAAGGCTATCGCAACGTTTACTAAATTTTCTGGCTTCTTGTAAGGTTGTCAGTAATTTTTTTCTAAAGTCCAAGGTGATATTGCAAAGAAAAGAAACAAAATTAAAAATTAAAAATTAGAATTATTAGAAATGAGGAAAATTAGTAAGTAGAGGTTGTAATTAATTATGTTTCTCAAATCACGCTATACATTAGTATACTGTGAAAATTATCACGCAATAAAAGCATTTGATTCAACGGGATTGACGGCTAGAAGGCGATCGCTCGCACTCCGAAGCAGTCTGCGCCTCTCTCGCGAGCGTGCTCTCTGACCAATACCTAGCCTTGAGCAGGCCTCGAGCCCCGCCTTCCAGCCGTTTTTCTCGTTGAATTTAAGGGCAAGTCAAGATACCAAAATAGAAAACTGTTATAGATAGATCGTACTCTTCTAACTTCCTTTAATCGGGTTTTTATGCCAAATTTTAATTTTTCGAAAACTAAACTTTGTAGAGGGCTCAAAATTCACGGTTGTACTTAAGACTTTATAATTCACGCTTACTGGTGCGCGAACAGCTCAGCATTGCTTTGGCAAGGACAAAAAATTTGCTTCTTTTCTTGATCTCAGCCGATAAAAATATGCGATGAGCGTGCATGTGAATGTCTGATGCTAATATCTCTGATCAAGTTGCAGCTTTGTAGAATTTTCCTTAAAGGACTCCCTATTTTTTCCAATTTTTTAGGTATTTGAATCTTTTTAGCTTTGGCTCCAATCTCGCATGGAGCATAGCTGGGGGAACGTTTTGGGTGTTATCTTGTAGAGCTTACTTTGCTCTACTGTACAGTGCAATGAAAACACGTGAGAGGAATGACAGAATTAGCAATTGTTAGAAGGATATGACTTAATAGCTGGCTTTCCCGGTCTACGGAAAAAACCCGATTTTGATTATTAAGCCTTCGTTTTCTTTGATGTAAACAACAGTAAACAAATCACTTCTGTCTTCATTCTTCCCGCGAGTGGTCGGCTAGTTTTTGGCTCTGACCTATTTCAACGATCAGGGATAGAAGGATAGGAGTAGGTGGAAGAAACCATGCTGATCCACCGATGACCCTTGCACGGAAGTCAAAGAAGGATCCGCGAACCCAGACCAAACTCTCAACCTTTGGAGCTTGCAGCTGGCAAAGGGAAGTCATGGATCTTCGTCAGTGGAGCGATATCTCGAATACGTCTACATCCGCAACTAAGTAAGCTTTACTCGAAATCATTACGGTTTTTATTGTAGACCATTGAGTACGAATAAATATAAATAAGTAAACAAATCAATAAATCGATAGAAGAAGTGAGCGATTCGCCGCAAAAAGTAGCCTTCTTGTGCGCAGGGGTTATAAACACATGTGTGCAAAGCTTGCGGCTTCTTGGTTCACTCACTTCTGTTCGACATAGTCTTCGCGAAAACATTTATTTATTTATGTTTTACACTCAAGGTGTGCCAATATGAAAAAAAAACAAACAAACAAAAGCAAACACTAACGGTAACAAGCAACTCATACCAATTCAGAGGGGACAAGGAGCAGTCCAAGGGAAGTGATTAAACGCAGTATGGGAACATCCTAGGCAATAATTTCTGCCTTAGATTAGCCAGGGTGCTGCTAGCAAATTGGCTTGCAGATCAAATAGTGCTACAAACGTGAATTCCAATCATGCTGCCTCTGAAAACTTCCACTATAATTTTTGGGTGCCAACGAGCCTACGGGCGGAAGCTAGCTGGCGAAAACCGATTAAAAAAGGTTTTCAGAGGTCAGCAAGATATCTCAAGCATATGAAGGTATGCTTGGCGATGATAATCTCCGAACAGGGAATATACCCTTGTTTAGGAGAAAATGGGGATTACTAAAATTCAATACTTGTGAGGTTGGGTGTTTGTAGGCTGCGATAAAGCTCCCAGGGAAATAGTATGAGCTGACCATCTGTTAGTAAATGCAAAGTGTATGGTTAGTAACAATGCGGAAGTATTTCAAACAAGATGAACGATCCTCTTGAGCAGAATCCGGTTCTTTAAGAGTAATAAATGACAAGTAATTGGAGGTAGAACGCGAACTCGCAAGACGCCGGAATTGTAGAAGCCACATTGAACTGAAATCAGGAGGGACCATGTCTCAACAGAAAGGTAGAAAAGTAGAAAAGCGTAAGTGAACAAGCGATACCTAAGAATCATCCATTTTTATTTCACGTAGTACATTGAGATCTTCTAATTTTCTACGAAATATGTGAGAGTTTTCACTACTGATTACTTCTGTAGGCAGTAGAGTGAGCCATCTAGTTGTAGGACAAAAGAAAGAGTTAAAAACAGTTGAAAACAATTTTTTGCCAAGCTTACGATAGGAAAAATGAAACCCACCTGTGCGTTGGCTGCCAGGCTTGAAAATGCAATATTTACTCGGTCTCTCCTATATTTCAAACTCTGAAGCTTCAATTTTTCAAGGCGAAAGCGATAGGATGGCAATGACTGTGGATATCCTGCATCAGGAAAGCATCTGTAGAAGACAATTCTTGTGAATGTTTTTTGTATTCTCTCAATCTTCTTAATGTGTTTATTCCAAAAAGGGCTCCAAATGGGAGATGCATATTCCAGATGAGGCAATACACAGCTTTTATACAGTCGCACAAACAATTCAGGGTCATTGCTATGAATATTTCTGAAAATCTTGAATAGGACAGCAGATGATTTTTTGATGATAGACTCAAAATGAGAAGTGAATTTAAGCGAACTATCTATCATGATACCCAGGTCTCTCACAAGAGTAGATGACTCAAGATTGACACCGTTGTAGCTGTACGTGCGACAGGGAGAGTGACCCAAATGCAACACCGTTGTAGAAATGTTTATAGGAATTTTCCAATCTTGTGACCAAATTGTCATTCGATGAATCGCTGAAGAAAGCGCTTCAAAAGCTTCTTCTTGCTGGCTATCATTACAACAAAAGTAAATTTTAATGTCATCCGCAAACATCTGAACTTTGACTTCGGGGTCCTTTTTAAAAAACATTGGTAATTCAGCAACATAGATCACAAAAAACAAAGGTGAGAGTATACATCCCTGAGGCACTCCGCTGCAACAATGGAATCGATTTGAGTACCTACTCCCTACACGTACTGTCATTCCTCTATCTTGGAGATACGATTCAAACCAAGACAATAGGTTCCCTCTGATGCCATAATTCTCAAGTTTGAAAAGAAGATTTTGATGATTCACCTTATCAAAAGCTTTGGAAAAGTCGAAGTAAATAATATAAACAGATTTGTTATGATTAAGAGCAGTGAACCAGTCAAAAATCAAAAACATAATCCAGGAGCAAGGTAGTAGTGGAGCAAGATGGTAAGAAGCCATGCTGTTCGGGAGGAAAAACATGGTTACTATCAAACCAATCAAAGATCTTGTCTCTGACAAGCTTCTTAAGAATTTTCTCGGTTGTGGGCATGATGCTAATGGGCCGGAAGTTTGCTAGAGTACACATATTTTCTCTTTTGAGAATAGC